AAGAAAGAAAGAAAGAAAGAAAGAAAGAAAGAAAGAAAGAAAGAAAGAATTTTGTGTTAGCCTGTTGACTGAGGAATGCAGGGCTCAAAATGATGTCCATGATGGTGCTAGGAATAGGGGGAAAAATGAGTGAGCTTCATCGCACTGCTATGGCCATTGTCTTCATACTTTAATCATATCCCTCAGGCCCAGACATCCCAGAAGGATGAATTTGTACAGAATGTGCTGTGTACACTTACCTACCTCCAATACTGCTAGAATAAACACACAAAGATCTGAAAGGAGAATACATGGGGGAATAAATACATGGCCAAAGGACACAGAATTTATGAAGAAGGACTATGCAAGCCCTTGGGAAGAAATGTTTGGCATTTCTTTTCAAATAATTAAAACAGCCAGATTTTTTTTTCCAGGCTGTTGCTACTGAAAAACTGTTTCTGGGTGGAGTTGCATGCATGTGAATGCAAAACCACTTCCTTTATATTCCTCCCCCCCCCCCCCCGAGTAATCTTTCAAAAGTCCAGAAATATTTCACAAGAAGAGTTCTCTACTCCTCTACTCGTTGCAGAATACCTTATGCCACCAGACTTGAAATTCTAGATCTAGAAAACCTAGAACTACACCGCCTTTGGTCAGATCTAAGTATATAAAATCATACATTGCAATGTCCTACCTGTCAATGAATACTTCAGCTTCAACCATAACAACACAAGAGCACACAATAGATACAAACTCAAGGTTAACCGCACCAAACTTGATTGCAGGAAATACGACTTCAGCAACAGAGTGGTCAATGTCTGGAATACTCTACCTGACTCTGTGGTTTCTTCCCCAAATCCCAAAAATTTTAACCTTAGACTGTCTACTATTGACCTCACCCCTTTCCTAAGAGGTCTGTAGGGGGCATGCACCAACGTGCCTACCATCCCTGTCCTATTGGTTTTTTTTCTCTTATATGTATCCATTTCATGTATTCATAACTATGTTTATACATACCTGTTATCTTAAAATCGCTTGACAAATAAAAATAAATAAATAAATAATCATGCATATGGAGATAGTGGAAGACTGTTTTCAAAGCCATATTATCCTGGGAAAAGATGCAGCTACTTTAATGATCCAGAAACCAATTTTTCATATGTGCTCTACATATGTTGAAGCACTTTTTTGTAAGGATATGCACAGCCATACTACTTAAGGACTAAAACTTGTCCTTGTTTATTATAAGGTTCATTATTGGTCTCCACAGTGAGCCATCTCAGAATATCCTAGAGCAGTGGTTGTCAACCAGTGGGCCAGGGACCACTGGTGGTCTGCGAGAAAATGTTGGTGGTCTGCAGAAAAATGTCACCCCCAAAGCACCCCCCAATTAAGAAAGACTTCTGCTGCTTTCCTTGCATGAAGCCAGAAGTCTCTCTCTCTCTCTCTCTCTCTCTCTCTCTCACTCACCCACCCACCCACCCACCCTGAGAATGGAGCTGGAGACAGTATCCTGCAATCCCAAATAAAGAATGATCGATAGGTAGGAAAACAGGGTGGGGAATTTTTCTGCAGACTTTTTTGGGGATTTTCCCAGGGTCTCTGCTGCTTTCTGCAGAGACCCTGGGAAAACATCAGCAAGCCACCATCAGTCAAAATTCATATTAATGGTCTGTGGGATTTAAAATTATGAGTTTGGTGGCCCCTGAGCTCCAAAAGGTTGGCGACCCCTGTCCTAGAGACTGACTACCCTCATGTCAGGAGCTACCAGCCTATCTGTTCCTTGGGCATTGATATACCAGATGACCACACTGGACCCAAGGGAGGGATCAAATGAATGAGTCTCAAGTCCCTCATGCGAACAGATCTAAGTCCAGCCCAGCTTGAATTCCACTGACTCTTATCAATTGCCAATTGGCTTTGACCATTAGTAGTTCAGATTTTTGTAGAAGGCATTAGCACACAATAAACCTATATCCATTTGAACCGCCTGGACTCCTGATTTCCTGAGTTTGACACTTTTTGGGTACAATGTGTATGGCAAACCATGAAATGGCAAAGCCAAATGCTGAAATCCACACACACACACACACACCCGGTGCTATTATCTCACAAGGCAGGAAATTACAACCTGTTTATTCTTTACAGCAAAAAAGAGGTGTGCTCTCAGGATTACATCAGAAATTGAAAGATCCCCCCAATACACAAATCAGCATAGCTTTTATGTATATTTGTATGTATTTTTTAACCTGGGAGTTCCCATTAACCTGGAAAATGGTATTGAAGCATGTTTCTGTTCTTGGGATAGTTGTTATCTTATATCATGTTCTTTTAACTTGTGAAAGTGCCCAGAGCCATTTTGGAGTTGAGTAGCCTGAAATTAATAAATGAAATAATGCCATCAGAATCATTGTAGCCATCATCCTATTTATATCAGTGTTCTTATCATCTGCTCATATCACTCATTTTTCTGTTTCTTATTAACTCTGCTAAGGAACTCCAAAATAACTTTAGAGATAGTTGACACAGAGTACAATTAGTAACACAGCACTAATCATCTCTAATAGTCTCTAAAACCAAAAACTACAATGCAATAATACTTTGTTTTCCTCTCCGTTACAGATTCTTGATTTAACCGCTGCCAGATCCTTACACAATAGTGGTTCTAACCAGAACTGTCACAGTGGGCAATATGAATTCAATGGTATCTGTTGTGACTTTTGTAAGCCTGGTAAGTATGATCAAAGAGAAATAGAAAAAAAAAAGATTAATGTCACTATGGAAAGGTGAGATGAAATCTGGATTTTGTGATTATTTTGCTATTAAGATGTGCTCTTTTTAGGATGACTCGGAGGTGCTTTTGAGAATGCATGACATTAGTTGGAAGGCAGAGGTCACCAACAGCAATAGGTCTCCACTGCAAAGATGAGCAGGCCAGTCTCTGATTCATTGATGCACCATTGTCCAGTTTGGTGTTCCTCAATATTGGCTCCATATTGTAGAAGTTGAAACCCAACATTTTCAAGTTGCCAGGTTTAAAGCTCGGGTCCTAGTGATGGGTTGCAAAATAACATGATGCATTCCACTTTCTGTGATTGCAGAAACTCTCCAGTTTTCGAGGCTGGTTGCAGAATTCGGGGGAGTTGAAATTTGTTGAGGTAATTCCCCGTTAGGAGAATGAGCGCATACAGGGAGACGTATTTGAGAGAAGTGTTTGAATAATACACACATAGCACACAGATACACTATACAGTGGGTTTTTACTTCCAGAAAGGTTTAAGCAAAGTTCAAAATACAGTCCAAAGTCATTCTCAGGTAAATCAGTCAGTTTTCAATCCAGGGATAATCCAATAACAAAGTCCTGCGTCAAAAGCAGTTCTGTATCAGACTTACATCAAATCCATGAATATCAGTCAATTAGGAAAAATGGAGGAATGGCAATACTTTCCAACAGAAGGAAACAGAGATACACTCACACTCTCTTCTGAGACAACCCAGGTTTCTGGCTCCATCTTGTGACCGTGTGAGAAACCACACCTAATTGCTCTTAAAGAGACAGTATTAAAATGTCTATCCTGGTTTATATATTTCTAACCCAAATACCTGTTAGGTGACTTATATTCCTAACAAAATCCACACTTCTTCAGGCAGCCAAGGTTGAGAAAAAACCAGTCTAGCTAAAGCAAAATCCTAATGAAACTATATTCCAATAGCATGCAGACCTCATCCATATCCTCTATTTATTCCATTGGACTATAAAAGTCTTCTGAACATATTTTTCACCAAGTGCAAGAGTTAAATAGAAAAAAAAACACAGGGCGACTCCATATGGGCTGCTCATATGCATCCTCTGTGTACTTCTGCCTTGCTTTCTTAGTTTCAGATCTTGCCAGGATGGGTCTCAACAGTTGAAATGCATTTCTGTTTAGTAGAATGGGAGTTAAAATTCCCTCCATGGTCCATAATTACAAGGAATCTTCTATTTTCAGTCAACTAATGGAGTAGTGATTCCTTTTGCTGTTGTTTTCCTACCAGCAAATAATATCTGGAGGCTCCACTCATCACTTTCCTCAAGTTAATCCCTATTACTTCTGTAAGAGCAACACCCATTACCGACTTAGTCACTGAGGCAGGATAAGGTTTGGTCTAGCGAGCACAGCACAAAGTGTGTTGCAATATTTTTATATTGCTTCAGGGATTGGAAGAAAGTACTTATTGACACAGCAATAAGGAAGCTGTGCTTTTTGACTTTTCTATAGTTTCAGGCAGCTCACACAAAAAGAAACCTTTTAAAATAATAACATAGCCTAAGTTACTTTAAGGACAAAAACTTGGAAATTCAATTTAGCCATAGCCAAGTTTCTAGTGAAGATCCTGGAGAGCATTTAGTGGCGATGAGACGGCCTGAAAGCTGAACAGTACCACAATGGTGTACTTTGCACAATCAAAAGTCTGCCATGTGGTTTTGATTATATTAACTAGAAGACTGGCCTTCTTTATAAAAAGAGCTATTTATTGCCGCTCTATCTTCTCATTCTTTCTCTTCATAGCACCAGAAGAGAAGCATCCCCTGCCAGCATTATCCTTGTTTATTTAATGACTATCAAGGTGTTTCCTCAGAGCATCAGAACATTTGACCATTCCAGAGAACTGCAGCAGCTCCATATCTGTCTTTCTCATGAGCTTTGACTGATATACTACAGGGGAAATGTGTCTCAAAATATTTAATATTTACTCAGGGCTCTAATGCCACAACTTCCATCTTTATTGTCTACCCCACCCCTCCCTCAGTGCTCATTTATGCTATTCATGCACACATGCAATCTCTCATTCTGACTGAAGACAGTGTGGCATTGCTTCAACCTGATCACCTATGTTTGGTTTTTCTTGAAGCAAACGTTTTGAGGAATCGCTCCTTAAGACAGTTCAAAGCTTTTCTCAAAACACTGAAACATTAACACACAACATAAATATGTAGTGCTGTGAATGGAATGTAAAGATGGAGAGAGAAGCATGCTGGTGGCCGCATTTTTTTTCTCTTCTGTTCTCCTGACAGGTCTATGACCATTTGCTGCAGCCAACTTGCCATGGCCAACTCACTACGGGGCAACTTAGAGCAGGACAAGAATTATGCTAATATCAAAGAAATGGTGGAATAGAATAATTAAAGAAAGGATGCAAAAGGAGGGACAGAATGAAATGTGAATGACAAAAATTAAAATAATTTTTATTTATTTTAAATAATTAAATTCAATTATTAAATTGTCCTATGGCACATTGTCCCATGGTGACTTGGCCATGGCAAGTTGTCTGTGTTGAGTTGGCCATGGTGAGTTGTCTGTGTTGAGTTAGCCATGGCGAGTTGTCTGTGTTGAGTTGGCCATGGTGAGTTGGCCACAAAGAGTGGTTGCAACAAGTTGTCACATGTTGTCTCCTGACAAGGAAATGGGAATAGGAAGTAAATGAGAAGACCGTCATACTCACTTTTCATCCTAGTGGATAAAGTGTCATTCCCACAATCCTCTTAAAAGAAAATATATAAGTAAATCTTCTTTTGCAAACTTAGTTTAAGTCATGTGGTCAAATAAGATACTAACAAGTAAGCTGTTTAAGCCCCATGTATTTAATAAGCCTTCTTCCAACAATGTATTCCATTAGATGATTGTGCATAGATCCAAGTGAGTCAGGAAATCCAAAATGGTCAAGAAGGGGACATTCTCAGACTTGTACTCTCACTTGAGGCTTGCAAAACTCCATTTTTCTACAGATGTTGTTTCTTTCAAATGCACATTCTTAAAATAATAAATGGGAAGCAAGCACTAAACAATGTATTAGTTTGAAGTATCATTTTCATTTCTCAGAATGCCTCTGTATCTTAGATTAAACCCCAGTAGAGGCATGTTTAGAAAAGGAAAAACATGGATATTTTTTTCTAAACAGAGCAGACCAGGAAATGAATGAATGAATTAATGAATGTTAACAGCCTGAATTCAGGGGTGGGATTCTACTGGTTCTGTCCACCTCTGTAGAACCGGTTGCTCTGAAGAGCAGCAGACAGAGAGCATACATCAAACCGGTTCTATGTCTGCTGCTGTTTTGGCCTGCCCACCCGCCTGGCCTCTTACCTGACCTTTATTTCCTGCTTTTTCAACCACAGCTGCTTTGCGCGACACAGCTACAGTTGAAAAAGCAGGAAAAAAGGGCTTTTTCAACCACTGCGCACCTGCGCGCAGCGCTGCTTATCTGTCCAGGTAGCTAGCTGATGACTATATACATGATATACGTGAAGCACGCATGCACATGCAAAATGTAAAATCACCGAACCGGTAGTTACACTGGTCGGATCCCACCCCTGCTTGAATTGCAAGATGAAGGCCACTGAAGGACTCAGTGATCATAGTCTACCATAGTCTACCATCCTAGTCCATTGCAAGTTGGTAGACATATGTTTTTCAACTTTTGTCAATCTTTTGAGGTAGTCCAGATAGGGAACCAATACCATGAGTACTAATACTACCTTTCTTTAAGGTTACTGTTAGGAATGATAGTCACCTAACAGTTGGGTTGGAAATAAATAAACCAGGATAGTAATTTAATGTTGTATCTTTAAGAGAATGCTGTAATTGTGATTGGCTGAGGTTCCTCCAACGGCCATAAGATGGAGCCAGAAACCTGGTTTCTTTCTTCTTGCATTTCCTGTTTTGCCGTATTGCCTGATCGTCGTTCTACTTGGATTGCTGTGAGTCTTGCAACTGGTAGCAAACTCCATTTACTGAACTTTGTTTATGATACTTGACTTTGTTTTTGGATTATCCCTGGACTGATACTAACTGCTTTGACCGTGTATGATTTGGACTGTTTGTTAGACTTTGTTTACCTGTTTACTGGAAGTAAAATTTACATTTTACTATTTAGTGTATCTGTATGCTGGTTGTGTGTTATTCAACATCACTCTCACTACATTTCCCTGAGTGCACTCATTCTCCTAACGGGGAATACCTCAACAGTTACAGTAGCAGAATCTTGCAAATCTAAAAACGTATCTCTCACCTTGCCTTTACTTTCCAGAGAACTAGGGAAAGTCCCTTCTGAGGTGTTTTCCACGCCTTCATTCCTTCCATGGGATGAGGTATTTCTAATTTAAGGATTGCCTTAATTGCAGCTGTTCCTCCCCATCTTTTGAAAATATACCCAAGGGCCATTGTAGCTTCTCAGTCCAAGGGTAAGAGAGGATGACTGTGCCAAACTCACTTAGATAGTTTCTGTGCCTAAGGTCTTTCCACACCTAGCTCTGCACCATTATACCTACACCATGGTGATTCAGACTGACTACTGCCCCAACTCCTTGGGTCATAAGGCAGAAGGCAGGGAAAACATAGGCAGAACTTACAAGACTCTGTAACCATAACCTATCTTGATAAAGAATAATGTACCCAAAGCTATTATATCAGTCATTTTGCTCATCTAATTTTACTCATAGGGCTGAGACACATAATATGTAAGCTGATAGTACAGAAGTCCTGTTGATAGACTAGTAGACGGAACAGTCGCATCAATAATAGTACCATTTGTAGTTACCTATGGATTTCACAGTGACTAATCTATGAAAATTCTTACAGGATGTTCTCCATGTTTCAAATGCCTCCCCTGGCCAAAATTTGCCATGTTCCTAATCAGAAGGATTTTACTGGCCTTTTCTGAAGCATTTTCTTTTACAGGTTCTGTTGCCAAATCATTAGATTGCACAAGGAATCCTAAAAAAAATTGCAAACTTTGCACTGAGGGTAAAGATTATATGGATAAAGACAATTATATAACTACTTGCCTACGATGTAATTACTGTGATGCAGAACACGGTATGTATGATCAACAATATGTTATTTCGATCTCAATGTATTTCACACAGGAGAAAATGATATTTAGTTCATTTGGCCCTCACAAGCTGCCAATATCTGTGAACACCAACAGCAAAATAGATTGTTCTGAATACAACTTAAAAACCTGTAAGCATGTTTGTGTCAGTGGTGGGATTCAAATTTTTTTACCACCTGTAGGTGTGGCAGGGGAAGGATACTGCAAAATCCCCATTCCCTCCCTACCCCACTAACCTGCTTTCCAGCTCCATTCTCCTGTCCAGGGCAACAAAAGAAGACCCAGCCAATCAGCTGGGACTCGGGAGGCAGAGAATAGATGGGGGTGGGGTCAGTCAGAGGTGGTATTTGCCGGTTCTCCGAACTATTCAAAATTTCCACTACCGGTTCTCCAGAACTGGTCAGAACCTGCTGAATACCACCTCTGGTTTGTGTAGTGATGTATGATAGCTGGAAAGAAATACAGTCTGGAGTCACTGATGTTTGGTGCAGACTTTAGCATTTTTAAAAAACCTGACAATCCCAGAATTGGAAACCAATTTGAAAACCACTTTGTTCAAGCCCTGGTTTGATGCAGGAAGTACAGAGTTAAAGAACCTTCATGAGATATTTTTCCAACCACACAGGCATGTTTTCAAGTAGACATTGGCTTTGTGGGTGGCGTGTTTCGGATTTAAGAGTTTCTCTGAATGTTCAGTCAAACATCTATTACATTTTACACAGCCAGTGGCTGTGCAAAGAATAACCTTATGTCTTTTGTTTGAAATTCTTTCATGAATTTGAAGAAGAGTATTATTTTCCTCGAGAGGGTGCGTAGTCTTCAAAGCTTGGCAGGCATTTAAAAATGATGGGGTTTTTTTTTAAAAAAAAAAAATTGAATAACAAAATATTTCCGTTTATTTTAGGGATGGAAACTGAACAAAACTGTACCATCACCCAGAATGTAAAATGTAGGTGTAGGATTGGTTTCTTTTGCAATTCTCCTAAGCCGTGCCACCACTGTGAGAAATGTGATCAGTAAGTACACCTACGAAGAGTGACAAAACTAGATACTCATATATTTCAGTGCAGATGTGACAATTTATCTCTGTTCAACCTACCTGAAGGTTCACCTCTTGTATTGCTTATTGCGAACAAGAAGTCCTAGAAAGATTTCTTATTGCAGAACTCAGAAATCAATCTGATAGATCACGGGTGTCAAACTCACCACGTCACGTATGATGACTTTTTTTCCCCCTCTGGCAGAGCTGGGGTGGGTGTGGCATGTGTGTGATACATCTGGCCTGTGGGCCACCAATTTGACATCCCGTGATAGATAGACATGTCACATCCACATAACACTCACACATATTCCATAATTGTGTGTCTCCCCTAGGATTTAATATCTAAACCATTTCTTTTCCCCTTTCTGAGTCAATGGAAATTTGGCTATTCTCTATCAGGCTTTGATATTGGGAAGAATCTGTTCAATCAGGTGAGGATAGTAAGGATCTTATTCAATCAGGAAGAGGTAGGTAGGAATACCAGAGGAAACATATAAGCCTCCGAAGAGATGGAGATCTTCTTCATCCATTGCATTTCTCAGGCTGAAGGAGGGAGGGCTAAGAAACCTGAAAATATTTGGGAGAGAGGGGCAGGAAGCACCAGTAGACAAGGAAATGGAAATGTGGAGGATGACCTCCAGCTGCCTATAATCATTAGAGGAAGAAAAGGGAAATAGTAAGGAAACTCAAGCAGATGCCTCAAAGATGCTTTTTCAAAAGGCACTGGGCTGGTTTTTTTTTCCTTTAGGAAGAAGATGTTTCGCTTCTCACCCAAGAAGCTTCATTGGTTCTGGCAAGATGGTGGGGGAAGGATTAGTTGGAATCTTCTTGGAACTGCTGAAAGGACTGTGTGGTAGACAGAGATAGGTAGTGTTTTATGCCTTCCCCTGTTGAGAGAGGGCTGCTTCCAGTCCTTCCAGCAGTTTCAAAAGATTTCACCCCCATTTGCACTCTGATATAGGTGACCTTGAGTGCACCTTGATAAATCCCCAAGTGGCCTCAAGAGCTCTCAGCTAATGTATCAGTATTCCAGAAAAACTGGACTCCAACAGATAACTCCGAACCAGACATGTTCTCAAAGTTCCCTTTTATTAGAGTAATAAACTGGCACATCTGGGAAATCCCGAATCTGAAAGTCCCGGGTTTCCCTCCAATAAGTAAAATATTACAAATCCACCCCCTGCATTCCTCATTGCATTCACATGCCCCAATCACCAACCATCCCAACTTGAGACGTCCCTTCTACTACTCCTCAGCCAGGTGCAGGAACTACATGACCTTGATTCTAAAGAAGAATGCTATTGTGTCTAACCACATACGTTCCATGAAATTCCCCACTCCCATCTTCCCACGCTCAAGAAGATGGCAGCGTGGAAGCTTCTGGTGCTAATATGCCTTCCAAAGCTGACATAATGACCAGATGACTGCAAAGAAACATGATCCTTCCAACCCCACCCCATCCAGTCAGAATCCATCCTTCCATCACCCCCACCATTGCGCCAGAACTGATGAAGTTTCTTGGATGAGAAGCAAAACATTTTATTTTTCCTCAAGGAAAAACACAGTCCAGTTGCCTTTTGAAAAAAGCATCTTTGAGACAACTATGACCTGGATGACTGAGAATCTCCACAGACTGAAGCAGATGGGTTAGGAACTTTGATATCCACACATTTAGCACAATTATTCAGACTTCCCAAAAAGCTGAACAAGTATTTGCAGAACCAGGCCCCACACTTATGGTTTTGCAGTATTTCAACAGTCATATGATAAAAAAAAAAATTCTATCAAGAAATCAGAACTTGAACAAAATTAAATGTTTGAAGCATTAAGATGTACTTGCAAGTCATGAAAATTGAGCCATAGCCATATAAAAGTAACTTTCTATAATAATTATACTCTCAGATATATGTATTATCCACATGGGAAGATTGTAAGATAGGTAGATGGCCCTAGGTACTTTTTCTGACTAAGACCTTCTAGGCATTTCTGATAAGGTGAATAACTAGGTTTTCCTTCAGCATCTTCTATTATATTAGACTAGTGTACATGGTATAAAATAACCATCTAATACTCTCTGTATTGTAATTCTTCAACTCCACTGTATAACACTAGTGCCTCTCTCTCTCTCTCTCTCTCTCTCTCTCTCACACACACACACACACACACACACACACACACACACACACACACACAACTACTGCTTTACTTTCTCTAAATCTTAAATGTTAATGTCTTTTCTAAATCCCCAAGAACAGTAGACTTTATGAGATTCTGCGAGATGCCTCCTTCAATCTGTCATTACCTCTGGGACAGAAGATGCACAATAACTTATCAAACACCAGGAGGCGCATTATGGTTGAGAATTAATCTCACTTTTGTGTCATGTGTTTTACTATTTTAGGCGAGTCTGTGGTTTGGGGTTGTTGAATTGTTGTTTGAAAAAAGGTTATTTGGGTAGTTCTCACATATGGCCACAAATATGACTGAAACTTCTATTTCTAAGCGCTCACATTCAGCGAGTCATGCCTAGCTTATGACTTTTTTTGCTGAAATCCTTAAGCAAATCACAAAATTGTTAAGCAAATCCAGCTTCCCCCATTGACTTTGTCTGTTAGAAGCTTTCTGGGAAGATTGTAAATGGAATTCATGTGACCTCAGGACATTGCAAATGCCCTAAATGCATGCTGGTTGCCAAATTTTGATTACATGACCATGGGGCACTGAACAGTCAAATTCAAGGACCAATCATAAACCAGTTTTTTCAGCACCTTTATAACTTCCAAGGGATCGTAAGTCAAGGACTACCCATATCTACAGCTGTGCAAATAGTTATGATGGAGATTAAAGTGAAAGACAACTTCATTAAAATGAACCAGGTGATTGAACTGGACAAAATTTATTCTAATTGATGGATTGAGTGAGATACCTCTGCACACACACAAAGGCATATTTTCCTACACCAAATCAGCAGTCAGAATCAAATCAAACCAATGTCATGCTTCAGTTTGAAGTTTTAAATCAAATTGGAATCAGTTTTCTGATTCATATTATTCAATGTACAAATTCAACTGTATCATTGTAAAATCTGACAAGATTTCCCATTGGCATAATCTGAATTTTCCTCTTTTCTTTTGTCATGTGAAACCTGGAATGGTTCCATTTTGGGAAATTCCAGATATGTCACCTGATCTTATCCGTGACATAAAATCTGACTCTGGATTGAGGAGAAGGTGCTCATCTCCATTTCTTAGCCAAAGGAGCCAGCATTGTTTGAAGAATGTCAGTGATCCTGTGACCAGCATGATTATATGCTGATGGACATAGAATGTTGTTACTTTCCTACCAAAGTGATACCTATTTATCTACTTGCACTTCCATTCTTTCAAACCCACTAGGTGAGCAGGAGCTGGAGCAAGAAATGGGAATTCACCTCCATTTCTTACGCAGCACTCGGGTCTCAAACCCGGACTGTCAGCTTTCCAGCTGACAAGCTCAGTATCTTTAATAGTCATGGGTTATCACATGCCTCTTCTCTGAGCGTTGCAAGTTCCTTCTTGTAAATTTAAATGTAACATATTTTATGGCAAAGGCTCTGATGTAACTTTTATAAATAAACATTACTTATCTATTTATTGAATTTATACACCACCAAATCTCTTGACTCATATCAGCAACTGACAGGATAAGCCAAATCCTAAGGTTGATTCTAGATGCCCAGAACTTTTTTTTAAGCTGAGAAGGCAAACACAAGCAGAGTGTACAGTCTTCACTTTCTTTTCTTCATATATATCTCTCTCCACACATTGTGGGAGATTGCGGGAACCTTCCTTGTCAGCAAGCATTTCATTGTACCTCTCACCAATTCGATCCATCAAGACTGCAAAATTCACCAAAATTCAAGAAGGAAGCATTTGATTAGATGAAAAGCTTTCTCTGATTGGACCTCTTCATTATTATTCACTTTTTTATTTGAAGGTGTGAAAATGGGATCATTGAAAAAGACTGCACCCCAACACAAAACACGGTTTGTGGGAAAAAAGATAGCGCAAAAGGTAACTTGATTTGATTAATGAACAATGTTTAATTAATGCTCCAGAAAGGAAGGGAGACAAGGGGTAACTGAGGAGGTTGTGGCAGCACAACTACATGATGGAAACCTGTGGGATCTATGATTCTTTGTTCTTTGTGTACGTGCTAGGACAACAGAGCCTTGCGGAGGTTGGCTGGAACACGGAGCAAGGAGCAAGGACAAATTGTTGCCATTTCTAAACCAGAACTGTAACAAGCTTAACTTTGCAGCCTTGTACGCTTTATGCGAATGATCAGTGCATGTTGTGTGATGTAATGCGTTTGTGATAGGACGTTAACAAAAATTGCTTCTAATAAAAGAGGGTTTCAGAGTTCGCTCTGGGCTCTCATCCCGGGACAACCTTGCGTTGTGTCTTTTTTCCATGAGAGACCACCACAGAAACCTCCCCTCTTTTTGTGATTCATGTAAAGGGTCTTTGATTAATGATTGTAACTTTCATCTTGAGTTTGTTTGATACTCCTCCCTGTTGAAGCCCATGGGAAAGAACCTGATTTGAACGTATGCAAGGCCATGTTTCAGCTCATTGAAACTCTAACAGCTAGTCTGCCCAAAACACTTTCTCTGCTGTTACTTCCTTTCAGTTCATCTACTTAGCAAGCAAAGGGGACCAGGAAAGTAATGGAGTCCAAAATCAGTTTGTCTCTAAAATTGAATAATATGGTCGGATCTAATCTTGTGCTGGATTAAATCTGGTGTTGGATAGACTTCTGCCAGTCTGAAGACAGGGGTGCCTTCCAACATGGCTTCCCACTAAAGACCACTGGAATGACCAGGCAGTGAGGAGAAGGCAGAATTGATCAATTGTTGTGCTGCCTCTTCTCTTTGGATGGAAGCCTGGGTCCTTTATCAATCTTTCCCAGAAGGCATCAAACCCACTCTTCTATATCAGTAAGCATTGAATAACACTTTGCATAAATAAATATTTATTGAGGTTCAACCTCCATCTCACCTCCCTTTGATTCCTCTTCTGATCATTGACAATTGCAGAAATCTGGCCCCTCGTTATTTTTGCTGAATATTCAGCCCGGGTGAATCGAATGGAAGCAAACAGTTTTGACCTAGTACTCATTTTTGAAACAATTTAAAATCTATTAAGAGTTAAATGACTCTTTCCATGACTCTTTCCATGGTTGTAAGTACGAGGGCTGGTCATAACTCACCTTTTTCAGTGCTATTGTAAGTTCGAACAGTCGCTTGTCAAGGTGAACACCCACATGGTGAACGCCCAAATTTGGATTTCACTAAGTATCTGGATTTTGCAGATACTTGGCCAATCGTCAGAAGAATCACTGTCAAACTTGCTTCATCTTCCAAAGAGTTTGAGTATGTCTATAGAGTTTGAGCAACGTTATAACTGTCTAGGATATGCCCATGAAATCATCAAAAATTAGTTCAAGTCAAAAGAGATCTTACCTATAGAACAGGAGTGTCAAAATCAAGGCCCGGGGGCTGGAACCAGCTCTTGGGTTGCTTAGGTCTGGCCTGCAAGCAGTGAAGGATTGGCCCACGGTGCCTGTGCCAATGAAAATGGAGCTCGGAAGGGCCATTGTCGCAGCCAAAAACGGAGCTTGGGAGCCCATTTTCTCTGGAAGAGCACTCAGGCCACCACAAGCGCCCCCAACATAAGTGACGTCGAGCTGGCCATGCCCGCCCTGGCCATGCCCACCCCAGCTCCCCGAGGTCAAACACAACCCTAGATGAAATCGAGTTTGACACCCCTGCTATAGAATGTATACTATCACTACTATATGTCTGTTCAGCACATAATTGGACATCAGCATGGGATTAGCAAAAGCTCATGGTTTGAAATGGTAGTATAAATGGGTAATTAATTATACCATCAGTCCTTGACTTAGAACCTTGACAAGTGGCTGTTCGAACTTACAATAGCACTGAAAAAGGTGAGTTATGACCAGTCCTCGTACTTACAACCAGCATAACATGCCCACAGTCACATGATCAAAATTTGGGCACTTGGCAGCAGCCTCTCAGATTCATATGATTGCCATTTGTGACCCTCCCAGATGGCTTCCGACAAGCAAAGTCAATGGGGGAAACCAGATTTGCTTAACGACTACATGATTCCTTTAACAACTTCAGTGTTTTGCTTAATGCAAAACTGAGCAATTCACTTTACAACCCTCTTGCTTAGCAACAGAAATTCTGGCCCCAAATCTGTCTGTATAAGTCAAGGGCTACCTGTATTCTGTTTCATTCTGTTTCATTCAAAGGAATGTTTACAATTCTGCCAGGTGTGGTTTCTGTTTCCATTTTTAGCACGGCATTTGTTGCTTTGTTTAACAGAACAGATTCAAAAACCTGCAAATTGACCCATATGGATTGGAAAATGTGATGTTATTCTTCTTCACAGACAATTTGCGATGGCTTTGGTTAATTCTGCTTCTTGCAGTGATTGTGGGACTGATTTTATGGTGGCGCTGTTGTAAGTTGATATCACTTTCCTTTAAAAAATGCAGTATAAACTTTATTATTATTTTTAAGTCAGCAAATATGCAGAGGAACAACTATCCCCCAAAGCTTTCATCCTACATTTAAAATAAAGTTTATTGGATTTTTTTTAAGTCAGCAAGTATGCAGAGGAACAACTATCTCCCAAAGCTTTCATCCTACATTTAAAATCCAATTGTTTCAACAATTTTGGAAGTCACGGTTCTTCTTTAAGGTAGAGAAAAAATTCTTATCTTGGACAGCAAATTGAAGGGGATCCAAGAATATTGTCTACTCGCTTTATCCTAACCTTTGGCATCACCTGATTTAAAAGTATGGTCCCTTATGGAATGAATAGAAGATTTATCATGGCAGCATTTGAATCAACTGTCAGATCTGCCTGCACTTTATCCTCTAAATAGAAATGATCCTTGGCTCCATTTGTTGAGAAAGATTTTAATTTTATTAGTAGTCAAGTGTATTGCAGTAATGCCAGAACTGCGAATTGCATGCCAAAATCCTGAAGTTCAACATTAGATACAGACTTAACTGCCTCCCATCGCTGATCCCCCCATAACCAATCAGGTTCAACCAAGATGTTTTCAGAATGGTCACTTCAAGCGTAAGTTGCAGCTGCCTTCTTCTCCCAGCCCGGTGACTTTGAAGCAGTGTCTCAGGCAGATACAGCAGTTACTTTCTCTTTCCCTCAAGCATTCTCCTTCTCATCCACCCTCGCCAAAGTTCATGGCAGACTGTCACTGCCTGGTAACAAAGTACACCAGCACCCATATGTGGCAGCAGATATTTGCTTGAAGACAAAATTTGGGTCAGATACTTGTTGCTCCTATTCTACCAGCTGTCATGTTTGTATACCTTTATTGTGTCAAGACTACACCAACCAGATTTTGTAGCTTGTACATTAAATAAAAGATGGAATTAGATACAGACAATATCCCTAAAAAATAGGAGTCAGCCACAGGCTCTTTGTCAGGCACTGGCAACTTGAAATCCCAGTGCCATACACACCATCTCAGTTCCATGTTTGGGTGCCTCTTCCAACATCCTTTTTGAGCATCCGGCCATTTTAAGGTGTCAAATAGAAGTAAATTAAAAGTAAGTTTAAGAAATCCAGTCATCATAAATTCCAGAAATTTCACATGAAATTACTGCATTTCATACTTAATATAAGCACATTCCTAATATGCAATTTCTGGTTATTTGAGGACTGTCTAGAAAATAATTCTTTGTGTTCCTTTGTAGGTCCAGGGTGCAGAATTCAAAGGAAGCCAAATCAAAAGGGCCCTAACGATGAATCATATGTGAGTCTCCTTTTTTGAAGTAATCCAGAGAACTAAGAAGGGTGATAGAGACTAACCCAAGGCATTGAACCAATAAGTACATAATAGTTTCTGTCCGAGCTCCTAATGATAGTGTTTTTCCACTGCTAATGCTTCCTTGTGGTTCTTATCTTTAAATTGCCCAGTGGTTTGGGGAGGAGGTTTCCTCCAGATATCCTTTCTAATCCTTGAGGTAAGGTGTGAGACCCACTTAGTAGAGATGATCATCTGTGCAGGGACATCTACTGAAGGGTCAAAAAGTCAAAATCATTGCTATGACCATGCTATCTAAGTGCCCCATAAAAATAACATGGGTCTCCATACACATCCCAAAACTGTAATACCCTTTTCTTTGTCAAGAAAAAAATGGGTTCTGTCAGACATTGAGAAAATTTTGAACTACATACTGTACCTACTATGCCTGTATGCCTGTATGTATGTATGTATGCCTGTATGTATGTATGTATATATTTATGTATGTATGTATGTATTTATTTATTTTTTATTTATGTGTTTATTTATTTATGTATTTAGGCAATGAGTTTGTTTTTTTAACTTTGCTGCTTGTTTTGTTCAATGATGTGACATTTTAAGGCCATAGTTATTATTTTGAACTTTGTTTCTCATTTACTTGTGCATTAGTAACCTCATTCACTTACGGGTAAGAGATGTGTGCATGCATAAAATAGGATGCCAGAAAACGAAATAGAGACGTTAACTTCAGACATTTTGTCTCTGCTGGGACAGTCCTGACTTAAAATTATTCCTGAATGTAAACTAGTACTTGTTTCAATAAACTGTTCCAGTCTGTAGAGATTCTTGTTGCTTATTTATTTTCCTCACCACAAATTGAAAATTAATTTGATTAAAAAGAGAAGTCATCAGTTGAACATCATGGGTACAGGCCAATAAACACACATGTGGAAATCCGATGAAATGGATGGGAATGAAGTATAATTGTTAAATGTTTTCAATTTCCTGTGAATTCAAAGCCACCCCTTATTTGATAATGTTTGGTTACATCAGGACCCATCTCCTTTATTACAAAGAATAAAATCAAATTCAATCCATATATGCTGCTTTTGCTGAAGTGTTCTTTAGATATGATAAGAAGCTTCACCGTTTGGGAGCAAAAGGTATATTTTGCCTCGTGTTAATAAAAAGTGCCATCTGCTTTACAGAATTTGCACTAAGAATATTGGAAGACACTTCTTCATATTCTTTCTTGTCTGTTTTTCTTTAACCTTTTTCCTTTTCTTGCACCTTTCCCCTTTTCTTTGATTTCTTCTTTCTTCTTCCTGACTTTCTATTAATTTATGTTAGCTTCAATTTTCTGGTTTAAAAGTTTTAATAAAAATTAAATATTGAAAAAAAAAGAAAACAAAGCTTGGTGGTGTGAATTTGGTTCATCTTTTTTTAATTGTTTCCTTTTAGGAACTTAAGAAAATTGAGTATCCAGGTGCGTAAAAAACTAAAACACAATCATTGCATTATATTTATTTATTTATATATATCTATATCTATATGTATGTATGTATGTATGTATGTATGTATGTATGTATGTATATGTATATGTATATGTATATGTATATGTATATGTATATGTATATGTATATGTATAT